CGCCGCCGCCATTGTCCCCGCGCGCCCCGCGCCGCGCATGCGCCGCGCCCCGGCCCCGCGCCCCGCCCACCGCGGGAGCGCGCCCGGGACCGGAACGGGAACGTGCTCGGGGGTCGGAACGGGAACGCGATCGCGCGTGGGCTCGGGGACGCGAGCAGGAACACCGACGGGAAAGTGAACGTGTTTGGGGATGTGATCGGACAGGCTAGCGGGAACACGCGCGGGAACGCGCGCGCCGCTGCCGTGCGGCCCCGCCCCTCGGCCGGCCCCGCCCCTCCTGGCCCCGCCCCCGTTGAGGGACGCCGGGTCCCGAACGCACCGCCCGTGCCCTCGGTACCGGCACCGGAGCGCTCCGGGTCCCGAACGCACCGCCCTCGGCACCGGCACCGGAGCGCGAACGGGCCCCACGGCGGCGCCGAGGCTGCAGCGCCCCCACAGGCCGCGCCGCCCATTGGCTCTGCCGTTGCCATGGGAACAGCCGTGGCCGCCCATTGGATCATCTGTTGCCACGGGGACAGACCCCGCCCCGCGCCCACGGGAGGCTTCGCGCCGTGGCGCCGCCGGCCGGAGGGAACGCGCGGGCCGTCTCACTTCCGGGGAAGGGCCGGAAGTGAAGCGCGCGCCGCGCCGGAAGCGCGCTCGGGGGCTGCCGGGAGCTGTAGTCCCGAAGGGCGGCCCGGCGGCGGCAGTCGCGGTGCGGAGGTCGGTGCCGGGCGGGCGGGGGCTCGGACCGCGACCCCTGGGGATAACCGGGGGACCCGCGGGGGCGGGACGGCGGCGGGAGGAGGGGGAGGAGCGGGGGATGGCGCCGAGCAGAGCGGGGTGGGGCGGGGAGGGCCGTGCGGGGCCGCGGCCTGCGCGGGCGGGGCGGCGCGGGCGGGGATGCTCGGCGGCAACCGGGGATGCTCGGCGGGGCCGGCGATGCTCGGGGGGCCCCGGGTGGGCTCGGGGACGCTCCGGGGCACCGCTCCCCGCGGGCTCTGGGCGAGGGGCCGGCGGGCAGAGCCCCGGCAGCGGCTCCGGCAGCGCGGCCGTCCCCGGAGCTCCGTCGCTGCCCGGGGAAGGCTCCGCTCCGCACGGCGCAGCCTCGGCCCCTCCGGCCCCTCCGCGCCCGCCTGTGGCTCGCCCCGCTGTGGCCGCTGGCCCCGTTTCCCCCCGTGGGCGCGGGAATTGCGGGTGCCCCGTCGGGGCTCGGGGCTGTCCCTGTCCCCTCCCGCTGCCGGGACAGCTTTGTGCCCCCATCCGCTGCGCTGGGGCCAAATAACCCCGAGGGAAAACCGGGGATCGCCCCCCGTGCTGGCGGTGCCCGGAGCCGGGCAGCGATCCTCGGGGCCGGCTGTGCACACAGCAGGATTTCTCCTTTGTTCTCTTCACAAAGCATCGGGGCTCTGCCCCCGGCAGCGCTGCTGGAGCACCCCAGCAGCCAGTAACCAGAACTGCTGTGATTTTCCCTGCGTCTCTCTCGGGGATGTGGTTTTCCCCTCGTGTAGTTGTTTTCCAGTGGATCGAGGAGCCCCCCACAAAGGCCCGGTTCCTTCCCATCCTTGGGGATTTGATCTGACAGTTCTCTGCAGCATTGCCTGCCTTCACTCTGTGCCTTTGCAGCAGGAGCACTGAGTCTGCTCCTCACAAACTTTCAGTGCCTCTTGTGCCACGGGGCTCTGCTGGGTGTGAGGCTCCAGGCTCCCGTGGATTCTCATTCCAGCCGTGCCGTTGCCTGTCCTGTGTCATCCTGGGCCATTTCTTCCCAAACCCAGTGCCCTCAGAGTCTCTCCTGTCGTCAGACAAAATACATTTTGAGTCTTCCAGTACCCCTGTCCACGCTGGTCCTGCATCCCTGCGTTTCCCTGGGGCTGCAGCAGCTGCCACAGTTGGACACTTCTGCTTATTTGGGATCAGGATCTGCAGGAGCACACCCTGGGATTTCCCCCAGGCTGCTGGATGTGCTAAAAGTCACTCCCAGGTCGGGATCCTGGTGTCACATTCAGGAAATCCTTCATTCTTCTCCCTGTCCTGCCCTGCACCCCCAATCTGACCCTGACTGGTTCCCAGTAAGGCTCCCAGCCCAGCTGGGATATGCACACAGCATCATAGAACAGCTGGGCTGGAATCTTGCTTATCCAAGGGGATCCCAGTTGTTCTTCTTGGAACCTCATCCCCAGAGGGTTCTCAGTTTTCTATTTCTTTACTCTTGAGCAAAGAAAATACCATTTCCATCAACTTTATATTGCATTTACCCATTGAATTGTGGAATGATTTGGGTTGGAAGGGAGTGTAAGGATCATCCAGTGCCATGGGCAGGGACATCTCCCACTGTCCCAGGCTGCTCCAAGCCCTGTCCAACCTGGCCTTGGGCACTGCCAGGGATCCAGGAATTCCACCCCAGCCCCTCCGTGCCCTCCAGCCAGGAATTCCCAATCCCCAATACCCCAGCCATCCCTGCCCTCTCTCAGCTCAAAGCCATTTTTGGAAGAGCCCTTTTCCCCAGCCCAGCGTGGGTGAGGCATTCCTGTTCCTGCTCCCTGAATTCCCAGGAGGGAGCTCTGCAGTTCCCTGCTCCCTGAATTCCCAGGACACTGAGGGGGGCATTCCCTGGGGTACCCCCACACACAGCCCCCCCTCCTTGGTCAGAGTTGGGCAGGGGGATGTGGCCAGTGCCCTGGCAGCTGGATTCCCTGCAGCATTCCCTGTCCCACTCCTGGCTCCCTCTCTCTGCCTCAGGAGCATTCAGGGATTGGCTCTTTCCTCTTGGAGCAACACTGGGCTCACCCAGCTCACCCCAAATCCCCTTGGCTTTGGGGCAGTTGGAGCCAGGCTGGCATGATCCCCATGGAAGGGGCACGGGCTGCAGTGTGCCAAGCTCCAGCCTTGGGAATCTGGCTCCAGGACCACGGAAGAGCTCCCTGACTCTGTTCCCTGCAGTGATTCATCACACCAGGGACATTTCCCTCCGAGATTCACCACAGCACACGTGGGCTTTCATTTTTGCCAAGTCAATTTGCTCTGTTTTTATTGATTTCATCCTTGGGAAAGGCCAGGTGTGGCCCTGGCAGCCAGGGCAGCTTGGTGTCCCTGTGTCCATGGGGAAGGAACCATGGACAAATGGACAAGGTGTCACATCCAGAGATGTGGCCAGAAAATGGGGTGGGTTTACTTGAAGCCTTTTTTATTTTTTTTTTTTTTTTTCTTTTTCTGCTGAAGTAATTTTGTCTTATTGAAAGCAAAAGTGAATAATTGGAATGACAATTGCAGGCTGTTAATTGCATGCACAGGGAGTCATTGATGGGGACAGTTAATGTCCATAGAATCCCAGAATATCCTGACTTGGAAGGGATCCACCAGGATCATGGAAGTCCAGCTCCAAACTAAGTTTGTGTGTAAATGCTGACCTTCAGTCCTCACCCATCTGATCTGAGTTTATAGAAAATCCTTGTTACTGTTTCCAAGAATCCCTACGGTGTATTTAATACTTGGCATCACAGATAAAACACTCCAAAACAAAGTTGGTTTTCTTATTTGGGTGAAGGTTATTTTAGTAAGACATTAAATAGGAAGTTTAACACGGTTTCAGTAAAGAATGTTATCAGAAGTACAGTTCTCCTTCTCCAGTTTTTTTTTTTTTTCCTTTAAAGGGAATAATGGCAATAATCTACTTCATCCTGGCCTAACAGGCTTTAAAACCCCCTCATTTTCACCCCAGAGCCAAAGCAGAAGCAGCTGGACCATTTGAAAGGAAATAGCAATTCTAACTTGCAGTTTCTTTGTGCTCCCTCCTGCTGTCCCAGGAACCCCTTCCCGCCGGGATGGAGATGTTCTCGCTGAATTCCCTCAAAGGTAAGAGCTGCACAGCCTGCACTGGGGCTCTCCCGTGCTCCGAGGGGGAAGCTGGAGCAGGGGGCTGAGGAGGAGGAGTTCTTTGTGTGAGGAGGGAGCTCAGCTGTGTCCTGGTGGTGCAGCACGGAGGGAACGTGGCAGGAAGCTGGGACAGGACAGGATTTCAGGGAGCAGCCCTGCACTGTTATCCAGAGACATCAGACACTTGTTTGCTGTTCAGCTTCGAGTACAGTTTCTTTGCCTTTTAATTTTGTGCTCCTAAATAATTCCTGTATCCCTCAGTACCAGCTCCATGAGCTCTTTGTCCTTGGGATTTGATCCTGTAGTACCTGTCACTGTCACCGTGGCTCTTTTCCCTGCCATTGCTTTGCCAGCCTTCCTCTCAGTCATATTTTGTCCTCAGAAATCCCTCCAGTCACTGCTTCCTGTTTTAACTTGTGGATCTTTCCTGAGCTCTGTTACTTAAAGAAAGAGGATAGAATGGACTAAAATATTCCAGCTCTGGCTGAGGCAGAGGGACCCTCCCTCCATGCCAGGGAATTCATCCTTCCCCTGGCACTCAGGAAGCCCAGCAGTGCCCCCACCACTCCTGGCACTGCCCTGCTCTGAGCCACCAGCACTGGAATTTAAACTAAAAATCCCAGAATTCTTCCCAGTCTGGGGCAGGAATTGTGTACAAAGTCACCTCAGCTGGGAACAAAGCCCCTCTGCTCCCCCAAATCCTGTCACTGGGGGTGGAGAGATGGAACTTCCCTGGTGAGGGCTGCTG